TAAAAGTTGATAATATAAAAAAAGATGTTGCATTGTAATATAAAAAACAGAGACATCATGTAAATTATTATTAGTTGCTACCTTCAATGTTTCTGATTTTAAAATTTCAGACTTAACATCTTTCAATCGTGCTTCCTTAATTGCAGCACGCGTAACAGCCCTCATTGCATCTTCCATACGATATCGAAATCCTTCCACTTGTTTCATATCGAAAAAATAAGGTCTTAAGGTTGCACCTGCTAATGATTGTTGTTTCTCTACTTTAGCATATACTTCTTCATCGTGCTTTGCCGATGGGCACGATACATATTTGTGTTTTCCTGCAAGTTCTTTTGGAACAACAAAACTTAGACTCATTCCTTGTTGAGAAGCACGTGCAGTTCGCCCAACTCTGTGGGTATAAGATTTTGCTGACGTTGGAAAATCAAAGTTTATAACTGCTGTTACATTGATGAAATCAATACCACGGGATGACCCATATTCCTTGTCTTTTTTCCGTAAATGGGTTTTATTATGCTTTTTGTTAACATTTTTCGTCTCTTGTAATACATAGTAAGATTTTAAATGATTATACTTATAATATGTCCAAGAATTGAATAATGTTGTTAATAATCCTTACCATCATTATCATCAGTAGCCTCATCATCGGTGTCAGTATCTGCATTTAAGTCGCTTTCATCCGTTGCGACAATGTAATCATAAATTCCTTTGTTAAATTCTTGAACAATATGATATCTACAAATAAAAATAGGAGAGTTGAAGATCATTATCGTTTACAGAGAATGTTGAAAAATTATTAGACTCACCTGGAATTTAAAGGCAACTCTGAATTCAAAACACATGTTTTGATCGAGAATTGCTCCAAAAATAATTTTAGACGATAACATCGATCAATGTCATTAACAAACAAAATACATTTGCCTTTAATTAGGCGAAGTTTTAAGATGACATATATTAAAAGAAATTTGTCAACTTCAGAGCACCTATATCAAACCGATAAAAATGTTAAATAAATACAATAACAGATTAATGAAAGTATTAAACAAAATTTAAATTACCGCACACAATATTGTGTAAGATTGATTTCATCCTTATCTTCATGCAATGTCAAAATAGCCTGGTTTAATTTAGAATGATCATGATTACTTCAAGTTTATAACTTTTTATTAACTCATATATTAATATACTTAAACACACAGGATTTCTCAACACTAATTGTTTCAAATCCTCGACGTTCTGAAAGATAGAATATCAATTGAATAATTTAATCAAAAATATAATGATCGTTTTTGAATGATGGAAAAAATACCTTTGTTAAAGTTGCACTCATTAGAAAGCATTGGAAAATTTTTGGTAAATGAGTCAATATTTTCTGTATATCGTCTTCATATCCATATGACAGCACAAGATCCGCTTCGTCAATAACAAGCGAATCAAGTGTGTCGCGAACAACAATATTCTTTGTAATAATAATAAATGTATAGATTCAGATTATAATACACATAAATGACAAACTAAAATAGATATCTTTGAATTGAAAGAAGACAAACTTGCGATTCAAGATGTGCTAACGCACGACTAGGAGTTGCAACAATTATATCAGGTAATTCTGATAAAATCGGTCTTCAAATATATAATCATATGATATTGGGAAAATTTTTAATTTGAAAATAATATTATAATTAAACAAAAGACTAATTCGACAACCATTTATTCACCTTTGCAATTGCACTGGTGTAGTATTTGCTATGTTGACTACTTTTATTTCCTTAGAGCAATATATTAGAAAACTATTGATGTGTTTTGTGACTTGTTCAGCTAGTTCTCGAGTTGGAACTAAAATGAGAGATCGAATTGCGGCACGATCCGATGATGTTTCAGGTATGGCCTTATAATTAAATCCAATAAAGTCAGTCTTTACAAAGTCTTCATATGGATTATTGTAAATTTCAACAAAAATACATCATGCTGTGTATTATCCAAATGCCCTACAAAAAAATGTAGGCATTCAAAATAATATTTCAGGGAAAACATTGAGATAGACTTGCCTCTTTAACAATTAATATCTTTTGAATAACTGGTAAACAATAAGCTGCTGTTTTACCACTCCCGGTCTTTGCTCTTGCTAGTATGTCTTTACCGGCCAACGCTAAAGGAATCGCTTCAGCTTGTATCAGAGTTGGTTTATGAAAGTTGAGTTTTGATAATGCTCTTGAAATTCTGGGATCCAATTCGTTGAATACCATCGTAAAAAAAAAGATTATGCTA